TATCAACTTATCGGACTAGTGAATATCATATTCCTAGTTATTACAGAAAGGCATAAAATGCCATAACTGAATTCAGAAAACAAATAGTTGAAAAACTTCTAGACCTGAAGGAAGGTAAGGAACAAGACAACGAAGTACCCGAAGTTTGTCATTGCTTGGAGGAGAACCTTTCTAATGTTAGACGTAAATGTGTGACATGCTGCGAAACAAATTCCTTTGTTATATCGTCACCCTAGAATTATCTTGTGATTTATCCCAAAACGTCAATGTTGGGGAAACTGGACTTTACGGATTTCATTACTTTTTTATACTTTCTTTTAATTATATGTATTATCAAAAATCTTTACTCTTCATAAAGATATATATAAAATGTAATGCAATTCGTCGTCTGTTATATGAATTTTGAAGAAATGTACTGAAAATTTGAAATAATTGTTTTGGATTTAGAACAAATTTCGACTTTTCCTTATTTCTAGAAAACTATATGGGATATTGCACATTTTTTTATTAACTAATTAGTCTATATCCACTTGTTTTTTTAAATAAATTCGCCTAAGGAATTCTTTGATAAAAAAACAAATTATATGAAATAATTTTAATTGGAAGTAATGAAATCTATAATTATTAACAAGAATTAATAGATAAATTCATTAATAAGTAATTTTTCTAAAACAAAAGATTTATTTTTTTTATATTATTTATTATTGTATTTTCTTAGTTTATTCAATTATTACTGCACTTTTTTTATTTGAAAGCAGTGCATTATAAAACGCCTTTTCATCTTCATGTGGCACATATGACACAATTTCTGAAAGATGTTTTCTCTTTAGTTCCGGTATTTTAAACTCCTGATTCGCCACGGGAAGTTCTTCTGAAAAGTGATATGGAACCACTTTTATTTCATTTTTCTTTCTTGATACAAAGCGATACATTTTCGCTTTTGTAAAATCACCTTCAAATTTTTCTCGAAATTCGATATTATTTATATTACCTTTATTATAGATTATATGTTTCAGTCTAGTATAAGGAATAGTTTTATAATTCAAAGCTTTTGAAATCTTTTGAAAATCGAAATAATCATTTGGCTGCATTTGAATGACTTTAAATTTTAATTTCCAAGATGAGGGAATCAATAATAGTTGACGAACTAATGAGATGGGACTCCAAATTTCAATGTTGCGGATATGTTTCTCAATTAAACTATGTGCATTATCGATTTCTTGAATATTTCCATGTCCTGGTTCGCTGAATTTTTGTTCTATCGTCTCGAGATCCTTACTTTTTATAGAGTTTAAAAAATATTGTAAGGCGAAGGACATTATCGAATTTTTGTTTTGTGGAACGCAACTGTCAGACCACAGAATAAGGCTTTTGAGTTGAGGATTATCAATCATAATTTGCGTTAGGATTTTAAAAATTGCAGCAGCAATATGATTCGCCCCACGACCTGCTGAAAATTCGTGCCAAAGTGCATTGTAGACTACTTTTGTGTTACTTAAATGCGCGGTTAAGTTGTAGCACGAAAGTTTTGTCTTATAATAGAAATTGGAAACATTAGCTTTTGGAAGTGAAAATGTGTTTTGTAAATCAAATGTCACAATCCCAACTTGAACATCATTAAGAAATCTTGTTCTATCTCTATCTCGTTCGTTCTTGCACAATTCCTTTTGACGGATGTGGTGATCGTGTTTATTAATGTCGTCTGGGGAAGGTTCTTTAGTGGTTTTGAATAATTCACATTTATCACAAAGATCTTTTTTAGGTTTAAAAAATCCAATGTTAAATTCATTATTGAAGATATGAGAATATATATTAAATTTTACTGGAATTTTAGACGAAGACCTATAAAATTCATACATTCTTCTGAGATTGAGTCCTCTATCCAAATACTTTTTACTAGTTTGTGCTCTACAATAGTGTGATTCTACTGCTGGGAAGCTACCAATATGAGCCCTTACTTTGTCTTTTTGCTCATCACTAATAGTTTTTTTGCAATGTTTGCCATGTTTAGGACTTCTTGGTACATTTTCATTCATATTATTTTTGAAGAAATAGTAGATCCGTTGTTTGCTTATATTCAATGTATTCAGAAAATACTCTTGGCAAACTCGAACTTCCACTCCGGATACATAGAAATAGTATTTATAGCTGTATGTTTTCTTACTAATTTCTTCTTTTGTTCTTTTGCGTAGCGATACAATACGTTTGACATGCTGTGAGTAGAAATGGAGTTTACGTTTGTCATCCAAATTCCAAAATTGATTATGGATATGATCCCTCTCTTCTCCATTAATTGCTTGTGAACATTTGAAACTACATTTTTCCGTATGACATGTCGCAGTTTTTACTTTCTTTTTTGGTTTTAAATTTCCTTTACAATCTATGTATTCTTCTCCTCTTTGCCTTTTGTTCTTTCTTATATTTTGTTTCCACGAAGAAGGATTTCTTTTACGTTTCTTGTTCAACTTCTTTATTCTATCAATTCTATCTTCATCAACTACGTTTTCATCAACACTTCCATTAGAATTATTTTTCTTATCTACATCTAATCTATCATCAGCATCGATTAGATTTGAGTCATTTAATTGGTTACTAAAAAGTGGCAAATAATAGTTAGAAAAGTTAGATTAGAATAGGTATTATTGTTTATTTACCTCAAAAGTTCGGAACAACAACTAGGCGATATATTATTATTAGGAAGAATATAACTCGTCGTACTAGTCATTATTATGTTTTGTTCTTATTAATATAAAAAACACTCAAAAATATAACGAGAATAATAAATGTCACTTTTTCAAATTTAATACCGCAGGAATTGGCAGTTGACGGAAATGCACATAAGGGCGCCCCTGGCGGCGGAATCAATTATTAAAACTACGGATTTTTAATGTCAAAATCCCCAAAACAAATTGAATGAATTTAGCGATTTAGCCTTTGATAAAATTTAGCACAATTTTGTTATCGTATAGAGTGAGAGGATTTAGAACAAAATATGACGGACTTGGTTCATAGAACATTATAATTCTGAGTTTATATAAGGAACAACATATTTTTCAAAGTATTAACTAAATTTTGGATATAGAACAAATATTTAGTAAAAATTTGGATTTGAACCTAGATAAAATTCTAATGTCTGAATAGATTTAGAACAAACTATTTTTGCTGAAATTTTCAATGTAATTTTCTTCAAAAGGACCAAAATGTGATTTAGAACAAAATAATTCTGGGCTGACGATATGACAACGGGGGCCTCCACTAAAGTCGTAGAGAGGCGAAGGATGGAGAGAGTTTAGGTTAATACAATACAATTTGGATCATATCCTAAGCAATCTGCATCGTAAGTACACTGCTCCAAGTATTCTGGATGATTCATTCTAGCTATTGAGGACTTAATACCTTAAGCGGTTCTATTTTTAGCTATCCTTGAGAAGTAATAGTAAAAGTTTCAATATATTTAAACACGTCAGCGTCTTCAAAAAGTTCCAAAAGAATTTTTTCTAGAAAGACTAGGTATAAATTCGAAAAATTGTTTTTGGGCATTACAAGTTTGCGTTCTCCGATGCCCACAGATGGGAATTACGAGCATTGAAACATCCCTTCGTTGTAATCAGTTGCCTAATCCCTAAAACAAATCGATTCACCGAACACAGCAAATAAAACGCTGGCGATTTTCCGCAAAATGAATGACAATTTCTGCATTCGCTGCTGCCCATGTGCGCTTATCGTAACTCTTTGAAACGAACGAGTTTTACTGTAGCTGTTCAAACATCATGGAGAAGATATACAGTGTGGTCCATTTAACGTGAGACAAGCGATTATCTCGAAAACAAAAGTTGTTCTATGCGAAGGGGGAAACTATATGACGATAACATTTTTTAACCTTGGCTTTATTTTCAAGGTCATATGAAGGACTAATTTTTTAAATGGCACCCTATGTTTTTGATTCACTTCAATACATTTATTAACCCTTCTACTAAAACTTTCTTTACATCTTAAAAGGGTTTCTTGGCTACTATTTCTACATGCATTTAAATCAGGTGATCTGGCAGGCCAGGAAATTGGACCTCCCCTTCCAATCCATCGCCCAGCATAATCCCGATCTAAAGCTTCACGTGTAATATGTGAAAAATGTGCTGGACACCCATTTTGCAGCCACATATTTTGTCTTTCTTCCCTCCTCAAATCTCAAAATGACCTGCTCAAAATTTTTAAAGTTGCTTCGTGAGTTAAATCAGTATCAAAAAAGTGAATTTTGTATCTTGGATCCAAATAAGTTGCCATATCTTATCAGCTTTCTTTTAATTTCATTCTTATTCAAATATCGCAATGATATGGCAATGTAGGGTATCACTTCAGAAATGCACCAGAAGTTATAACCATAATGGCCGGATAGATATGCCGGATAACCGGATATCCGGCTTTTCGCAAAATCGCTATCCGATCCATCACTAATATTAATGGTTGTTTCAGAAGTACATTTTACTTTCTAAACATTCTTTATTAAAGTTTTTGAAGTACATTCAAATTTTTATCAAAGATATAATAAGAATTGGTGTTTGTAAATTAACCATTATAAAATGTCATTGACATTGTGAAAAGTTGCAAGTTCAATGGCAAGGATAAGGAAACGTTTTAATCGATAAAAGTTCTGCGACTGCGTATTTCAAAAATATCCGCACTCTAAAACAACTATATCTTTAAAATACACTAAATTTAAAATCATTTTAAATACAATTATTTTTAAATAACTTTGATAAATATGAATAAACGTAAATATGTTTTTAATAATTCAGCAACCTCTACCAGTTTTGTATTTTATATACATATATCCCGTTTATTTCACAATTTATATTTTAACACGTTTCTGATGACGATTTATTATTAATTATATTTTATTATTTTGTTAAGCATCACTTTATAAATATGAATTGTTAAATACTTACCAAAATAAATGGTAAATTATAGCAGGTTTATGATAATTAATATTAAAAAAATGAAAATAACCCTAGTGAATTACATTTTATTTGGTACTTATAGCAAAAATGTACATGTATTATATGAAACAGGTAACAAAATATTACTAACAGGGTATTACAATCACGACTTTCCCGATGTCCAGAACAGAGTTGGTGTGATCTGAGCCAACTTTCACGTGAATAAATACATCAGAATTCGCATGCAATATATTCTTATTCGTATATTATTATTTTTCGGATACTATTTCCAAACTGTCTTATTTTACATAATTTCTATTGTCACAATAAGCTCTAAGTTATTAGCTTTGTACAGGAATTAATCCTTTAACGCAGTTTAATGTATGAAATGTTATATTATTCTCTTTGAAATTGGTTGTTTGTTTATTCTAAACCAGAGCTGTTTTAAATTTTGAACTAATTTGAATAAAATATTGTGCGTTAAAGGATTAAAAAGATTTTAAAAAATATGAAGGTTGACTTTAGGATACTGTTAGTTGTTTGCCCATTATACTAATATAATGCAAACTTTCCGTCATCTGCAAACAAACCATAGTCAGTTTAGATTATCGATCGGGAGAATATACATTGCATGCAAATTCCGTACGAAATGTGTATAAAGAGAGAACACGTATAATCTATTATTTTTTATTTCATCTTCTTTTGTATACATCGACGTCTCCCGCGCATTCTAAATTTATAAGACTAGGTATCCGTTTATTGTTATTATTTAACAAGTTGTACGCCTATGAAATATATTTACACATTATTTTTTTTCTTCCATTTTTTAATACGTACCAACATGCATGTCACAAACAATGTCCATCTCTCTTCACGTATCTTGATCGAGTATCAAAAGGCACAAGATAATATTTTTAAATATTGTATATAGTGAGATTCTTAAAACGCACCTTACCAGAGACTACAAGAATTCGTAATAAATAATTGTTATCGTTAGGGTTTTTGTCTTTGGTAATTACGTCTCTGGAAAGGATTTTCTAATCTTAATGATATGTTACACGAAAAATATTTATTTAATTTTTTCGAAAACAAACGAATTCTTTTCTCGTGTAAAATATCACACCGAAAAGAAATAAATCGTTAAGAGATTTCACTTATTCAAAAATGATTGATTGGTTTCATTCTACCTCTTTCACATTTTGTTTTATTTTCTTATTTTTGATATGAGGACCAAGTATAAATACGTTCTTAGTCGATTTTCTTCTCAGGGTGCGGCAGTTCTATGGACACGGTGCAAAATTACTTCACCACTGCTTGAAGTAGGATCCGCGGGAATTGGTCCGCACCGACACTTAAGGACCCATTGTACAGAAACGGTAAGAAGCCTGTAATCCGAATCCCACCATTTCTGCGGTGTTTCATCAAGCCAAACATCTTCACCCGGTTCAAGATATTCCGGAAGCAGCTCGTTCACGTTCTCAGATTTTTGGGTACCTTCACAAAGGAATTCCACCTTTACCGTCGTACTTAGAATGGGTTCGCAAATTATTCCAGGTACAGGACATAGCCCGCAAAATTTCGGTCTAAATCTCTTTCGGCTTTTGCAGGGTCCAAAACGGAAATTTACAGCTGAACTAAGACGATGTGTGGCTTTGCATTCATGTCCTCTCTGAAAATGAGTTGAAATGGATGGGATGAATGTATTAGGTCAATAGTTTTTGCTACTGGCATGAATATCATTGACCTTATTTGTTGGGTTACCCAACACAACAATAAGAGCCAATTAAATTCATATGCAGTTGGGCATCAACAACGAAATATGAACTACTACAATTTCGAGTACAATTCGGTTTATTATTATTGATTTCGCATTTGTTTTTCCATTTGTTGAAGTAGAATATTCCAACATTTTTATTTACAAATTTACTGAGTGGGTGAATATTGAAAAAAAGAATATCCTTCGATATAAAGACTAAAGAGTATTTTGGAAACGTTTTCAATATCATTTCCGAATACTAAACGAAGCAAAATAAAGTGTTATAAATCGTACCCTTAAGTGGTGTTGCGTGTTGCGGTAAATGATGGGTGAAAGTTCGTCGTCACACCTCCTAATTTGACAGATTCGGGTTACAGTTTCCGGTTCGCATTTTGCGTTAACATTAGAGCGACGTACGGATAAACCTCCGCCGCAATCATTGTTACACGGCGACCATTTCGAAAACGCCGGTTGACACGATGGTGGCTGTTCTATCAAAGAAAAATTTACATCGTTACTCCTACTGGATACTATTGAATAAAATATTGCTACCTGCTTGACCATCACACATCCATTCTCTACAACATTGGCCCGGTACGTCCACTAACCTGGGATGTCGACACGACCCCTTCGGTGATATGTGTTCCTGTGGGCACAACGAGGAACATCCGTATGTCCCGTTCTGTAACAGAACATGAATATTTAACGTGAGACTTAACAATCAGGAACAACTTTATATTAGGCAGAACAAATCTTGAAAGGAATAACAGGAAAATGATTAAAAAAATATTAAAAAATAAGTTTTTAGTTAAAATTTAGCACCATGGTAAATTCTAAAACGCACAATGACACAAAGAACAATGTGATATTCAGCATCTTCTCTTTTCATTCTTCTTTTTTGAGCAGAGGAAACAGTATCGAGTTGCATTTTCTTTCTTTGCTGTTGATAGCACAAATGGTGGAAAATGTCTTGTTGTTAATTTCAGTGGTGTTAAGATGATAGATGGCCGTCCTCTTCTTGAAATGTTGGTAGTTTTGTATTTTTCAACGGAGAGTTCAATTACTTTCGGGCAAAAATCAAATAAATAGAAACTGTTTCATCACCTCCAATCGTTCCCCAATCATTTTGCTCAAAAAATAGTTCAAAATAGTATTCTGGTTTTTAACTATTCTTTGCAAAAGTGCAATACTCAAAAACACCCTAATTTTATTTGAATTTGTGCCATACCAAAAAGTCTTTTCTCTGCTTCGATAATGACTTTTAGCATATCTATTTATTTAATTCACAATATTATGTATCAATGGTAGATAAAAAAAGCACGAAGAAATTTAGGCAACTGAAATGTAAATATGTAATGTTCAATCAGAACAGCAGCTATTCACCGATGGCAACTTTTTTACTGTAAAAGGAAAAAGCACACGAGTATATTCGGTTGTATTTATATAGAAATTCAAAACTGTAAGTCTCACAAATTAACTCAGGCTTGCGGAAAAACCAGTTTTAACCCGAATTAACTCCGGTGACTGCGTTTTTCTATATTTCATTGCTTAGCTCTCAATGCATTTCTGGTAAAACTGATTCACTAACGTTAATCCCTCATTTCGTTCTCCATTTTATAGGAGTTATGACTGTGTTGTTGCAGGCTAAAGTTCAAATTACGTGAGGTCAGATAATATATTAACCACGTTTCTGAAATTGTAAGAATTACAGATTCTTGAGTTTAGGGCAATGTGCTAAAGAAATGTTTCGCACTGGAGGAAGTTTTCGGATACGATTCATGCAAAGAAATATGGAATATATATTCGGAACATAGCATTGCTCGACGAACTAAGGAAATATGAATTGATGGGGGAAATAGAGAATTTAGCGTGGCGTTCATAGTAGACAATAACTTTAAAAGTATTGTATAACACTTGTTTCTTTAATATAATACTAATAAATGTTCACTGTCCCATAAAGAAGTAAGAAAAAAGATGTCAAAGAAGGGTTTCACAATTCTTTAAACTAGGAAAGAAGGAGCAGTAAAGGAGGCACTTAAAAAACACTCATTGCACGGAAAAAATAATGTCAATGAAGAATTCGTAATTAACATTGCCACTAGTAAAGATATGACAGTAAGCTAAATATGTTTAATTCACAGAAACATCCAGAAAACAACATGGATATCTCCAGATAGAAGTATAGAAAATCAAATAGACCACACTATGATAGACAAAAGAGTTACCAGTGGCGTCCTGGATGTCAAAACAAGAAGAGGTGCATTTTATGGCTCAGACCATTTCTTGGTATAAACAACATTCAGACGTCAAAAGTCCAAGAAGAACGTTGCAACATGCCATCCGAAACGTTTCTAGTTCTAAGTCTGCTGTTAGTTCCAGTGCTAGTGTTACTATTTAGCTTATCTGGCTAAAAAATCGTTATACTTCAGCTGTGGTTTAAAACCTAAAACTATGTATACATTTTCTAAATAAATTGGAAGAAACCAGTTGCTTCCATATTACACTGAGCTGCGCACATCGTACATAGATGGCTAAGTTGTAATGTTCTTCTTCTTGGCGTGCCACAGTTGTGTTACTTCCCTTGTAAGATTTTTAGAAGGACCTTCGTAAGGAAAGATTTCAGGTGGAGGTATTTTACCAAATTATAGATATATTAATATCTCACCTTGAAGAATCTGTAAACTACAAAAATATCAATGTTCAGTTCGACTTTTTACATAATCTTACTACAGTCAGCGCTGAAGAGTGGCTTATAAACAGAGCTGGGCAAACTACTTGAAAAAAGTAGTGGAGTATAATTATTAACTACTTTCACCAAAAAGTAGTTTAACTACTTGGTAGTTAAATTACTTTTAGAATATGATACTTAGATTACTAACTACGAAGTAGTTAGTAGTTAAATATCTAACTACATTGTTAACTACATAATAAAATGCACTTTTGAGGCCTAAAAACTCAATGCCGTACCTACAACTGCAAAAATGCATAAAAAGGTAAATAAATAATAAATAAATAAATGCAAAATAAAATAAACATCTTTTTATTATATAAAGCTTATTTTAAAGGTAACTAGGTTTCTAGTTAGTAATTAACAACTGTTTGAACTGTTAGACATAAATTATGCTTAAAAGTCAGATTCTTTTGGTACTTCTAAAGCAAGTTCTAACCATAGGTTCTAATTCGGCTTGTGTACATAAGTACATACTAGATATTTGGAAGTACTTAAACTGTCTTAAAAGTAGTTAAATTACTTAAAAGGAATTAAAATAAACAAAAATACCTAAAATAGTTAACAATGCCAGCATAAAATAATCGAGTATAACTACCAATAGAACAAAAGTAGTTAGAATACAACTACTTTTACACAAAAAGTAGTTGACTACGTAGTTAACTACTGCCCAACTCTGCTTATAAACTATGTTAAATTTCAAACCACTGACATTGATTATATAAAATCTAGAGAAAAGGATTTTAATCACACATAAGTTAGAAGATTTATCTCCAAATATTGCCATAAGTGTGCGGCATTGTTGATTATAAATTGTAGTGGCGAAACATCAGTTTTGAAACTCAATGGAATTAAAAGCAACCTTAGCAGTAGCATGCAACCGCCAAGATTATTTTTTTTATTAATACTCAAAAAAAGGTCGTTTATTACTGCATAAAAGATGTAAGTATTTGTGACATATTTAAATAAATTTATATTTATTATAAAGACGTCCCTGTATAATAAACATTTTATATATTGAAATTATCTAAATTACACAAAGCTTCCCATATGTAGATATTGTATTTACAAGATTATTGATAGGGAAGCTACATATTTATAGTATTCTATTATTACACCTCAATTTAGTTATTGCTGTTTCTGAGGTTAATGGTAATCTTGAATCTTAAAAATATTGTATGAACTTTTTGATAAAATCGTAAGTTTTCTTACGCCAGATGGTGTTCGTCGTAAACATACTGCTACCTACATAGTTTCCACCAGGTGCGCCCCACTTTGGGTATTTTAGAAGTAAATTTATATCCTTAAACCTGTTTAAAGGGGCTAGTAGACCAGATTTAGTATGCATTCTAAAATTCACGAAATGGTAGTATTTCTTGCCAAAAAAATTCACAGAATTTCAATATCGTAAACTGGGCTTACTTGCATTCCGAGAGTTACGTGAGAGGCAATTTTATATATAAGATTTCTGTATTTCTATTCGTACATATTGAATTTAATATTTACAAACTTTATGGTCACAAAATTATTTCAAATTAAGGTAAATATGTTTGTAGTTAAAGAAAAGTAATTAATAAACTGCTTAGTGATCAATGTTGAAGATTTGAACAAGAATTTAATAATATAATTTTGAATAATTTATGTTCAAGTAAATCCAACTTACGGTTTTCCATTCTGTTTTACATGAAAACAAAATTTGAGTAAACTTAAGAAAGTTAGGAGGTCTTTTCAACTTTTCGTTCTTGTTACCCTATTCTACAACGAATATACTACCTATATAGTACTGTTTGCTCGACTTTACGTCCATCGTTCAAGAATGCTATTGCGATTTTTACGTCTGCGCATATCTGCAATGGGACCATAAAGATGTTTCAGCTATCCGGAGCCTGGATAAGAGTTGCAGTTTTCAATTTTCCCTTTACCTTTCGCTGTATACTGCCGTTGGGAACGGGAGAGTACGTGTCAGGGAAGGAAAACGGCATACGAATAAAATCTCACCTGACATGCACATTGTGTCCTGCAGTCCAGGGAGAACGTTTCCCCGTGCTCGTACGTCCTGTTGTAGACGATGCATGGCACGCCGCCGGACTCTGCAACAATGGCAATGCCCAAGTCATAAATATTACGTCGTGGAAATCGCTCGCTGGCTGCCACACCGCCCGTCTGTCTCTCTATGGTAGCTAGTGCAGGTGTTCTTCCCGTTTAGACGTGTTACAGAATATACGCACACCGCGGTTTTAAGCTTAACAATAGGTAAAATAAATGAATCTTGACAGATTTAGAGCGAGTGGTTTTACAAGATAACTTGAAAACATGCTTATGGCTAAGTTTGTAAAACACGTACCTCTACAAGTTCCCTCTGTATCACCATGTAAATATTTACATGTAAGACCTTTTTGCATATCACATGGTCTATCTTCGCTGCATGGTTCCCCAAGTTGTCTTGGACATTCTAGACATTCATCGCAAATTTCTTGTGGTGATGGACATGTGCATGGAAACGCACATCTTTCCTGTAACAAATGAATAGTGCATTCAATAATCAATTTAATCAAAATATTTGTGTTTGAACTTGTAATTCTTTACGATTACAATAAAATAAAATGAGTAGAAGAATGTTATAAATCTTGTTCAAATCGATGTTACTTTTAAAGTGCTGAATTGGAAAAACAAGAAATGGGAGGACCACATCATGGATTTTAACTTGTAGTTTGGGATTGACGACAGGAAAGATTTTAGCTTTTAACGTTCTTTACAACCCGAGAGAAACGTACATTAAGTTGTCTACTTTAAGTTTAAAATCGTTCATCACTATAATACGATACGATTTACTTTGTCTTTTATGTGCTAAGTCGCGAACTAATTCTAATACATGTAAATATTAAGTTAGGGTTTCACAGTTTTAATCAAAATTTTAATTAAAATATACCGCGTGTCTTTCTTGTTTATCTTTCTGATGGGAGAGGTGTACTTTGCGGAGCGTATGAACTGCACCACGGAAATTAAAAATTTTGTGTTTTACCAAAACCAACGGAAACAGTATGTGGACTATGTGAACTTTATCAACGAAAAACGAATTTCATCAGTTTTCTGATTATTTTTAAACATTCCGACTTTTTAGGCCAAATTTAAATGAAAATATTCTTTAAATTCCACAAATGGTAAGCTTATGTTATATTATTTTCATAACCAGTACGTTGTCCTATATACATATATTTGGATTTAGAAGTACTTTTGGCAGCATTTATTGGACCATTTCCAGAATTTTCACTGTAAATATTCGAATAATGCATTACTTCAGTTAAACCCTTAATATATTTTTTATTTAACTAATAACGCTTTTAAATTATTTCATCTCAAATCATGGTTGTATCGATTAAACGCGATCGATTGTGTTAACTTGCTGTAGGTGTAATTAGAAGATTCGGTAAATGCATTTGCACGGAACTTAGCAAGTCTATTAATGAAAGTTAACGCACCTAGTTAACTTATTTTTTAGTTTATAGTTTTGCGTGCAGTAAAGTTCATCTACACAGTTTACGAAAGCTCTGGGTGTTTAGTAAAGCTGATGTACCGCAGAGAGTTGTGTAGTGCCCTTAATTCCTATTTGCATCAAAAGATAAACTCAATTACTCGTAAAGTTTGTTTTGATAGCATAGGAGAAGTTTTAAATAAATCGATTTATTAGATTATACATGGTTCTAAATTGAGTAAGAAAATAATGCAGCTGATTAAGAATAAAATTTGAGCGTGATATTTCCTTTAAAGAAATGTGGGCTAACCAAGTATCCCTAAACCAATGTTTCCATTAGATCATTCTTTCAAAATACACAAAATGATGTGAAACGCGTGGAAACTTGGCAAAAAAGATTTCTACCTAGAAGAAAGTTTTTGCTAAATGAAAAGAAGATATTTGATAGTGATAACTTGTTGGTAAAATGTTCTAGATGCAAGAAAATGCTAGGGAAAATTGTAGATAAATTAAAGATGTTGAATATAACTATATTGAAGATGAAGATACTAGATGGGTGAAGAAACGACATGGGTGGAATTGCATAATGCAAGATGGGATGAAAACTTTTTTCAATGATGGAGATGCTAGATGGAAAAAGGATGTGGTAGATGAAAGCAAAAAGCTATTATATAGTGGATTCGCCATAGACAAAGATTGTAGACGAAGAAAATGTTAAATAGAACAAAACAGTTAGTATCTTGAATGGAAAATCTTGTTGAAAGTATTGAAAATGTTGAACATAAATATGAAAGATAGAGAATGAGGTTGGAAATGAAACGATTCTAGATTGAAAACAACGTTCAGAGAAAAAGGGAATATGCAGCTTAAAGGCTCAACATGAATTGTGTCACAAATATCTCTAAAGATTGCTTTAACCGTTGAAGACGAAAATGAATTTGTCGTTATCATAAGAAAAGAAGTTACTATTCAAATGCTTTGTTAATTTTTAAATTTTACATAAAAAATGGTATCTTCCACGATGAGATGAATTACCTAAATTAAAGGAGATGGCTGCAAGAGGAGTAGTTGATTCAAAATGTGGCAACAAATCACAACAGAAGTGAGAAACGGGAAGAATGCCATAAGTAAGAGATGAAGCTGGAGTAAGGAAAATGAGATGGATAAGAATTTGTATTCTGTGGATATATCTCAGTTCATTTCTTGGTGCAGAATAAGCAGAATGAACAACTGAAGAAATTTATGAGAGTTTTCAAAAGAAAATTACAAGACAGATTAATAACTAGATACACAACCAGTGGAAGATAGTGGCACAACATTAAATGACAGTAACGGATGCTGCAGAATAAATATTGAATATTATGGAAAGCAAGATAGATGCAAAAGAGCATCTTGGTTTGATAAAGGATATAGGAAAGCGATAGAAGGGAAAGACATAGGAGGCATGTGTCACGGTAAACAAAAAAAATGCAAATAAATCTTAAAGCAGTGAGACGAAGAATAGACAATATGTGTAGAAGGAAGAAAAGAGAACATTTCTTTCGGTACCATAATTCAGGTCTTCCCAACGTTGGCAACCACATCGGCTTTCGGACAATCTAAATAGTTGTTCCAATTCCTCGGCGACCCTCGATTTTAGCTTTTAACTGAAGGATTTTGTATCTGAATCCTCTAAGAATATGCCCTGGGTAGGATATTTTTCTTATTTTAATAGTTTTAAATAATGTAAGAACGGCTTGCTTAACACTGCTTCGTTGGTCTGCATGGCTGTCTAGTCCATTCTATCAATCTGTTCGTTTACATGTTCTCTTTTCTTCCTTCTACATCACTAATCCAAAATATCGTATATAGAATTTTCCTTCCAAGACTTAATAAATCGTGTAGTAAAAGTGTAATAGTCGGAAGTTTTAGAGGTAAGGAAGTTTTCATTTTGTAACCTTATTAAAATTATTAATTTCAATGTCCTATCAGTCAGGAAACATAATCCCCGAACGGGTATAATCCGTTTTAGGTCTGGCCATATTGACAGAACCGCATTAGTGGAAAATGGTGTAGCAATGTACTCCGCATAAACGATAATTACGGCATAATGCTCTATTGCTAACATTACTATTAACCTTTTCAAATCATTTTGATACGAATCAAATTTAAACAAAACCAAATTGGCAACTTCTACAATCATATTGGCATTAATCGCAATTAAAATCATATTAATCATTGTCAAATTAATAATTTAACTGTCGTTGAATAACAAAACCATCTTTAATTTCTCATAAACAAATTATATTTATATAATTAATAAAATACTATTAATATACGTGGTATAAATAGCGTTAATTTTGTTAATGTTGTTTTGAACGATGTCCTCTAATTTACAAACTCTGTATGTGGGTGAGGTCAATATTGGCTATGTTTAACCTCCAAAATATTAGTTATTACGTCCGCCAATCAAGCTTTTACACCTACTATAAACAGTAATCATCCATATTCGATTGGGTTTAACTTTTAACTCTAAGGCCTTTTGGCGAAATTTTTTTTCTTCTCGATTAAATTTCTCAATGACTAAATCTATCGAACATTAGCAATCATCAATGAAAATCTTTAAATTTTGTTATAAGCCACTGCGACCGTTGGTAGAACTCCAGTCTTTCCATAGGTGCGTTTAGACGAGTGAAGGGCAGCAAAATCTTTACAGATGAGGTTCTTTGCATGTAGTTGAGTTCCATGAAAATGTAATTGAAATTACTTGTTTTGATTACTTGGGGTTCTTTGAATTTCGTAAATTTATTGTGGAGCATGAATTGGACCCATACCAGATGAAGATAAATCAGAGGCTGTTAGGCTATCAACCTTCTGATGATGTAGACACACAATGGTAATGCATAAAAAATTCAATCACCAAAATCGCAAGTGGCGCGAGAAAACGTAGGAATGAAGAGTGTAAAGAAGCGATATAAGAAATAGATAAGATTCGATAACACCAGAGAAGGTATTAGATTGATAATGCCGAATTAAATTGGCGTCACTCAACACACTGACCTGTGCATCGAGGAAAAAGTTATTAACTTGATCGGCGTTGCCTATAGATTCAGGAATTGTCCGTTGCCTGACACTAACAATACCACGTATATGTAATAAGGAAGTCCCCCACAATGTGCAGAATAGATTGTTTTGGACCACCGCAGTCACACTGAGACGATGACAGCGCTCCTCATTTATGGAGACTATCACCACAGATTTTATGTCTTGTAAGTACTTTGTTCAGGTCCTTCCATAGGTAGTGGGGGAGTTCAAATCATTTTAGTTCTTGGTTGAGGAGGATCTATTGCTTTATTCTTGGTGGTGCTTTATCGTTCCAGTGTTTTTCCACTCAGAGTTGATGTTGCAGTTGTTCCAGTTTCTATCCAGTTTCTCAGCAACAATTAATGGATGGTGCCGGAATCTGAAGCTATTCATATCAAGATAAGGTAGGTCCTCATGAATAAGCAGAAGTGAGTTATCAGTTATTTTCTTGAACTCTTTTAGGCGGGCAGTCTTTCTTCGCAGGTTTGGCAAGGTGAATTTAAGACATCCTGATATTGTTCTCATAGTCGAGTTCAGTTGTGTGTCGATTTTTTGAGTATACAGACTGTTTATTCACACCGGCGCGCAGTATTCTGCACCAAAATAAACTTGTGACAGGGTAGAACATCGCAGTGTGGTTGCAGCGGCAACCCAAGTAGAGCAGCAGATTTTTTGTATGATGTTATTGCGAGTTCGGATTTTCGCACATGCGTTAAATGAGCTAGAACACTAGACAGAACTAATCTTAGGATCTCTTAAGCATCATCTACTAACACCATATGGTAAAAAATCTAGGGCTAACTTAATATTATATGACATATTTACAATTTATTAGCATCCTTAACTGTTCAAAAAAGATATAGTCAATTTTTCAGGCAAATAAGAAACATTATTTAAATAAAAAAAATAAATTCATAAAATATCTGATAAAAACTCAACTTATTATGTCGTATAAGTCTTCTTTTTCAGGAAAGGTGTAATCTTTTTTGCCTTATCGAGATTTCCATATAAATTTTTTTCGGTTCGTGAATAGCATGATGATCAATCAATTAAGGTGGCACCATGTGGAAAGTGAAAAAGCTAATGCTTTTTTTTCCCAAACGTACTTCCGCACAAAAAAGACGGATAGGTCGATATCAAAGTTATTCAAGACGTCTCCTTAACGTGTAACAACCTGAAAATCTGAAATTCATTCCGAACCTTTGCGGGAAATTCCTCACACGTTTTCGATCTCAACCTAGGTTCGCTCGCATAAATAGATCATCAATCTAAGGAGGCTAAGAAGGAGACTTTTATATATCAAAAGGGAGACTTTCAACGAGGACGGTTTAGTAGATTTCCGATAACGATAAAAAAATAGTTTTCATAAAAAATTAACAAAAAAAAAAACATAAACAAAACAGCTTTTTCTTTTTCGGTGAAAATTAACTTGAATTTCCATTCGACAACGATAAGAACAAAGTACTCGACGTGCTTTTGGGATATTATTAACCGACTTTGCCGCATTTCAAAACTTAATTTGCGCGTAAACGTAATCGTGCCGCGAAGTTTGGTCTCGAAAAATGTGGAAACTTTCAGGTGGAACATAAACGTTATGGTGGCTACACAGCCGAGAACTTTTACAGCTTTAAATGCCGAGGTGAGAAAATGCAGATTTAGTACACTCAGCTCAAACGTTATGTTAATTTTCAGTCTTTTCACGCAATGTTAACCAGAAAAGTTTTTATTGCTTAAATATTATAGAAGATTGATATTTTGCTAGAAAATTGGAATACTTTTTTGAAAGAAATCACAATAAGAGTTTAAGTTAAGTTTAATTATTGGGAAATCAACCCAAAAATGGGGAAGGAATAAAAAAAACTTCTTTAATTGGATCAAGCTTTCGATAAATATATTCTTATCTTCGTCAGGGTACGCTACAAATAGATGAAGGGAACATTACACGTAATTCCAACAAACATTTCAAGACTTACATTTAGAGGTTAAAATGTAAAAATTGTTACATTAATACATTGATGTTGAATAGAAAGTCAGGCCAAATGAGAAATCTGACCTTGCCTCCGGATTTTGTTTTGGTGTCATTGGATGTTTCCCTTTTCATCAACATCGCCTTACAGCTGGTGATTAATAGGCTATCAGCAGAGTAGAACTTAATACAACCTCACACGCAGAATCCTCATGATTTATTCCTCGGTTTTCTCCTTTCGTGACAAGTTCTACAAACACAAGTTTGGCCCACCCATGGGTAGTCCACTCAGTCCTATCTTACACACCATTGTCATGGACTCGATTTTGGATGGTTGCATGCCCAAGTTTCCATTCCAACCACATTTCATTTATAAATATGTCGATGACATTATCTGCTCTGTTCCGTACGACAGATTATTGGTTGTGCAAAGGGAGTTCAACTCTGTCAACTCATAAATCCAGTTCACCATCGAGAGTAAATCCGATAACAATGTTCCCTTTTTGGACACAAGTGTCATTAGAAGGAGTGATCAACGCGTTGTCTTAGATTGATATAGAATGCCCACATATTCTGGTCGATTCATTAATTTCTTCTCCTGCCATCTTATTCAGATAAAAATTAACACTCTCAAAGGTATGAAGAATAGAGTTCTGCATTGCAGACTTTAGAATTTAGAGATCGCAACTTCAAACTCCTGTCAGATATATTATGTAACAACGGTTTTCTTCGATCGTTAGTTAGTAGAGTCCTCCATTCTCCGGATAGGCCACCCCATAACAGTCCCAGTTGTAATACCCCATCACATCTTGACTGGTCGATGACACATCTTCCTGATGACGATTTGCCCATAGCACTTCCCACTTTTGCTAAGGTCCCCTTTATTCCTCGTGCTGCTCTGAAATCTGTCTCTAACATCATGTCTCTACGGGCCATAAGTTTGATTTTGATCAGACCAAGATTCTTTGCAGAGATAACTTATATAACAGGAGACTCTTCCTGGAGATGTTTCACATTTTCTCCTTGTCCAACACTATCAACTTTAGAACTGACTGCCAGGGTCTTAGCGAGATCTACTGCCACCTGATTGATCTGACCAACAAGCCGTCCGTAGATTCCTTTAGGTCTGATTCCTCCTTGGGTTCTTACCGATTTTGATATGACCCCCCCTTTTTTAGTGTTTTCACCATCTTTGGGTGTTGATTGCCTTTGGGCATTAAAGTAGTTTATAACAAATTAAAAATTAACTGGTATACCCAGTTAATTTTTTTCTTTTTGTTCAAAAATTTACACAGATCATGTTTCGGCCTTTTAATTTTGTTTATTACTCTCCTTTTCCCTGGTTGTGTTCCTTAGAACCAACATTTAACGCTTGCGTCGACCTTCTGCCATGTGTTAATTTCGCCCTGAGGATCTTTTATTCAATAAATTTATTATTAGGGCTATTAATAGTGCTACTTGTAGGGTCCGTTTTGTAAGTTTCTGGTCCTTGACTTGTTCCTTTCCTTTCGTCCTTGTGTTTTGGATGTTTTCCAACAACAACGCCATCTTCTCTCTCTGTCTAACGTCAACCTGGTGAGTTTTATTTCCTTAAGTTTTCCCACCAGAGACAGTTGCCGTCCCTTGTCCGATCGGTTTCGCGCCTTTTATTGATGGTTGATCACGTTGGTGGTTAACCATCTTGTCGTTAATTTAATTAGTGTTTTTGGTGTGGATATCACCTTCCCTCTTTATAGATGTCTTTACATGTTTTTACATTTTAATCTCTAAATGTAAGTCTTGAAATGTTTGTTGGAATTACGTGTAATGTTCCCTTCATCTATTTGTAGCGTACCCTGACGAAGATAAGAATATATTTATCGAAAGCTTGGTCCAATTAAAGGAGGTTTTTTTTAATTCCTTCCCCGTAAACTCTTAGTTAAACTTAACTCTTAACGTTATACAACCAGTACTTCCACCTCTTTTTTAGAAATCACAATGTTCAAATCATGTTTATGTTAATATCGTGTATATTTTATAAAATTAAATTTTATTTCTCTTGTATTGTTACGAACAAATTTCGTATCATATCGAATATGATTTATAATGGTAAATTTTTATTTTAACAGACACGTTTGTGTATACCAAAATTAAAACAAAAATTAATTGCAACCACCACCAAATAATTTATATTCGTTTAGAGGAAAACAATAGCACGAGGGCGAATGCACAATTTATGAGGCCATTAGTTTAAGCCGGCCTTTTGTGCAACTCCGTGACCCGTACAATCATTAACAACGATTAAATTTTTTTTTCTTTTCAAATTCAGACCTTTGCGTTCAACACAATTTGACTCAACTATACGACAATTCTCAACCACACCGTCCGTTTTTTTTGCCTTTTCAACAATTTCCTAACCCAGTTCGTCAACGATTATTATTCATCCGCATTTGATTTGTTCGCATTGTACTTGCGCTGTGATTATACACTGGACAATGTGACCACCGGGACACAATTAATCTCTGTCCACAACCTCTCTGACATTTCGTTTTTCCGCTTTTACGTCAAGTTAGGATTTGATGATGATTTTTTTTGAATGAATAATGAATATTTTTTACAATTTAGATTTTAAACTTTAGTTAGTAACTCGCAAAATGAAGTTCTATAACAAGATATTTTAACCGCAATATGTCCGAAACTACTGGATGTTTTGTGTGTTTGAAGTTGGTGGAGGAATATTTACATCGCACACGAAAGTGGTAATGCCGCTTTGAGCCCCTCGATCGTTTGCAAAATTAGTTCTCTAGACTCACCGAGCTCTCGTAGTATATTTGATTGTCTAGTTCGCGGCGTCTCACTTTGCCGATGGCGCTAGATCCGGTGGCCTCCAGTAAACTTGTCGCGAATATGAGGATCCACAGCATGGCGAACCCTCTGAAACAAATTAAAGTCACTTAGTATACCGAAACCTTCAGTCATCTCACAAATATAATACGTACACTACCATTCAAATGTTTAATTAAATGTTTACAACAATTCTATTTATTACAGCTTCATTAATCATCCCTACAGGTCCGGTGTTTTCATTACTTCAACTACAGCCACGTATCGTATTATAGAGCATGAAAACCTAGAGACCTTTAACATCGGATTCATAAAGAGAACTCTTTTCGAAACTCTCTTTGATGTTTGTAAGAGTTTTGTCCCTAATTAATTTTCAGGAGATGAATGACTTGAAATGAAACATTTTCTAAAACAAGTCTAAATACGAAAAGGATTAAATAGCTAAAATTAAGGGACTACAAACAAAATAATTTCCGTTTATATTATTTTCTTGGAACAACGGCAACTAACTTTAGTACGAAACTAAATGCGGGATATCAAATGAGTTGATGCTCATTGTTTTCTTTTGAACGTCGCCGCACATTGCTCTTCAACAAATGAGTCAACCGCCGAGGATACACCGGAGACCTCGGTACTACTTCAGTATGCAAATGTTACCGTAAATTTCCATTAACGATAATTGCATCGCCGCACGGTACTTCATCCCGTCTAATTTTCTCTATAGCCGGGCCATTATAGTTTCGACGAAAAACAACTTCACACCGCAACAACATTGAGTTATTGTAGCGTATGCGCTCTACTATGACGGATGGAGCTTTTAGATAAATTGTGTGTGTGTATGTGAAAACTTATTCTACGACATGTTATATTTACTCTTTCACAAATACGAAGAGAACGTATTATAATCATATATAAATATGATGGAGGCAACTAAATGCATTCCGACTCTTTTTTAGAATATATGAAACAAAGTCTTCGAAATGAAACTTTTAAATGGGTAAATGGGAATCATACAAAATTCAGGAGATTTAGAGAGGATATCGCGATACAACAGGATTTTATAGTGATGTGGCAAATTTGTTTAACAGACAGAGATAGTGCAAAAAAAACTGTAAAGTATTTTGAGGAAGCTGGAGTTATAAAAGATGGACACATGGGAGCAGAGTGTCTGTGTGTGATCTTACGTGTTGTACATATATGTCTAATAATGCAACAATATATGAGATGTTGTATTCAAAAATCTAAAAAGATACAGTAAATAACTAGGATTGTCAGTTATTTTTGTTGTTCGTTTTGATAAAAATCAAAAGAGAGAAAAGAAAGAAAGAGAAAGGTATTGCCGGGAAACACTTTTACTACGATTTCATGCAAAGGCATCCAGATATATTGCTGAGAACACTTGAGTCGACGAGCATGAAGCAAGAGTTTAACAAACCACAAATAGATCTTTTTTATGATAACTTGGAAAAACTGATGACACAATACAAATTTCAACCTTCCAATATTTATAACTGTGATGAAACTGGTGTGAGCTGCGTACATAAACATCAAAAAGTTCTTGCTCCGAGGCTGTACGTCAAGTAGGAAAGCTTACTTCTGCTGACAGGGGCAAAAATATAACAGTTATGTTTTGCATGAATGTTAACGGCCACTTCATAGCGCCATTTTTTATATTTCCTAGCCAAAGGATGAATGATCGGCTCATGATTAATGTACCAGCCGAAATCGTAGGCGTGGCTCAGTCAAAAGGAAGGATTAATAGTGATTTTTTCCTGCAATGGTTGCAGAACATTCGCAAAACATTAACATCCGACGAAAGAGAGCCCTGTCCTGTTACTGTTGGACGGCCATTGTGGCCATAAGACACTGGCGGTCATCAATTTTTGCCGAGAAAACAACATTTATTTGATGAGCATACCACCACACACCAGCCATAAACTACAACCACTAGACAGAACATTCATGAAGCCATTTAAGACTACCTACAACCAACGATGCGAGATCTGGATCAGAGCAAATGCTGGATCTCGGATAACCGACTACGATATTGCTGGTTTTTTCAATGAAGCGTTCACAAAACTAGCTCGAGTAGATATTACGATCTCTGGGTTCAAATGTACAGGAATTCACCCATTCGACAGACATATATTTTCTGATCTGTATTATTTGACTGCAGACGTGACCACTAGAAGAGCCAGGAACTTCCTCAAACGCGCCAGGTTGCACCGGGGATGTTTCCCTGTATTCCAAAGATTTGGCCTTTGCTGGTAGCTCATTAACTTTCTGCGATGCAGAATTGTTTAACAATTTGGTGTCAGAAGAATCCAAAGACACTCCTAAAAGATCTACCCACGAACCAACAATCAGCAGTCCCAAGCCATCAACGAGCTTTGATCCAAATATTGTCCAGATTTTCCATTATTTATCGCCATTGCCCGATGCTTCAAAAAACGGTCAGCGGCTCGGAGGAGAAAATGTGAAAAAAGTGAAATTATAACATCATCACCGTACAAAATTGTCGTTGAAGAAAAAGAGAATGAAAAGAACGTTAAAGACAAAAAGAAAAGGTGGGAAAATAGCAATAAGTGAGGAGGGGAAACAAACCAAAGAAATAAAAGTCAAAGGAAAAAGTGGAAAAGCAAAGAGGGATCCGTTAACTGAAGTATCTAACATTGGAAGAACTGTTTGCGTATTGTGCTTAGAGGACCACAACGAAGATTGGATACAGTACTCCAGTTGTAGAGGGTGAGCTCATGAAGAATGTGCAGACATCCCTGAGTCTTCAGAGAGCTATATATACAGGATGTTTTGAAAATGTCCGGTGCTTGCAGTGATTGCAGTTTTTGTTCCCAAAGTTTACATATGGTTCTAAGTATGCTTACGCAGAAGTTGCATTTTTGTTCATTTATTTCGATTTTAAACTTTCTTTACGTAGTTAATTCATAAATAAACTTACAACCTTAGGTGTCCGCCACTAGGGGACTTCCCCGTACGTACCAAAGTTAATATGTATTAAATATGCGAGAAACTTGATGGTAGATTATATTTAGTAAACTTGAAATTTATTGATGTATAAATTTTTGTTATGGGTATAATTTACAACTAAAAGCTTTGAAAAGTTTTGTCACGACATCATTGTGATTGCACAATATATGGGAGGAAGCCTGAGTTGTAGGAAACTGGTTAGGAAGTTTTGCGAGGGACAGGTTAATAAAACTTTGGTGATCGTTCGAACGGTAGCATGCTGTGTACACACACCGTAAAGTTTGATCGGAATAAATTGCAAATTGATGATGGTCACTTATTGGAACACGTCTCTTCTTGTTATGCATGCACAGTTTTAGAGAACCGTTTTACAGAAATCAATTTTTTATTATTGGGTATTTTTAATCGATTTTCCGCAATCGAATAAATATTTCATTGTAAATAAATTTTACGTCGAGATTTTAACTTTTCAATGGAGAAATTTCAACTGCAGCATCCATGTTAATGACATTTCCACAAAACCCCCCTCAATTCAATTCCGTGAAAAACGCATTATAGAAAATGACACGACGACGTCGTGTCGTGTCGACGAGAGAGGTGTGAATTGGTTCATTGAATGTCTGGTATACAGACAGACAGATATCCCGGAATTCGACAGGCAGTCGATTCCACCGATTAAAATATAAACAAATTGAGTATGCGATATGGAAACGCGAGAGGCGTTGCCGCGGTGCGACAGATCTGAATTGCAAATCGATCGTACCAATTAAATTATTCTGATTAAATTCAATTCCGTGCATACGCATAATGCGATTTTAGTCAGTCCGTTCTGTTCATTTGTGACTGACAATGAGTATTTTAAATTTAAAATCACATACAAAGAGTTCATTTTGTTTTGTCGCTTTATGAATTTGTGAATTCGAATGAATTTCTGGACAACAGCTAACTGTGATTTTCGTTTACGCGGAAATGTGGTTCCACCACAAATGCGCACCGAAAATATGACAACATAAAAGTTGTACTGTATTATCAGGAATATTAACAAGAGTTGTAAATATATGTGAATAACTTTTATGTATTTCCATAATCAACAACAATAAGCGGGAAATTAAACTGTCGAAATTTGATCTGTTTATCTCGAAAATTTATAAATTATCCTCACAAAAGCGCGTTTAATAAACGTTATGGCATTGCAGTGATGTGTGCGTTAATCCGAGTTACATATCATTTAATTTTGAGAGCGGAGTAAAACGAATCGAAACTATTTTCTCTTCTGAAAGCAAGTTGTGGAAAAATCCTTTCCAATTTATCTCCATGTAGTATCAAACTTTGTGGAACGCTGATCGCATGGGAATCGTTGGAAAAGTTTGGGCACGTTAACAAATCGGCTGACGTGAAGTGTTTTAAATCGATAAAGTTATCCTTTGAACACTAGACACAGAGGTCCTTTTTACAGTGTTCAGTTTATCAAATATTTTTCTCTCTATCTAGATGATAGTTACTTCTTTTATTAATCCAAAAACCAATTTGTGTTTTAAGAGACGCTTTGAGATTAAACAGATTTTAAAGTATCTCTTTAACCATTACATCTTCTTACGTAGTCGGCTACTTATAATTAACTTTCGCAAAACTCGACTTCTTTCACTAGAAGAGACTGACGCACGTTTATTACATCTGACAATTCACAGCGGAAATTCGAGTAACGCGATTCATTACAGATTCATCCTCAAACAATCAAGAGAAATAAAGCACTACTTAGAGGATTTAGAACTTTGCTGAAGATTTGCGGGGCAAATTTGTTCTCCATCAAATTTACATTTCTGCATAATAAACTTTACTGGATCGTTATCTAAAATATTAAATATTATTCCTTTTGTAATTTTTTACTATTTATATAAAGTATGATTCCCACTGATTATGTTTTATATCTATAACTCCAGTAAATATATTAATAAGATATAGATTTTCTGCTTCATACATTAATACAATGTCAACCCTTTCTTGCAAATTATAAACTGTAAATAACAATGCAAACGAGGAATTCCAGAACAAAACCTGGTATTATACAATATTTATGCTATTGCCTTTTTCATATACAGCATTGT